TTCCTCTGCCCCTTCGAAATCCAGCTTGTACTTCTGGGAGTTCTTGGTCCACATACTGCTGAAGCCTGCCTTGGAGGATTTTGACCATAACCTTGCTAGTGTGGGAAATGAGTGTAATTGTACGGTAGTTGGAGCATTCTTTGGCACTGTCCTTTTTTGAGATTGGGATGTAGACTGATCTTTTCTAGTCCTCTGGCCACTGTTGAGTTTTCCAAACTTGCTGGCATATTGAATGTAGCACTTTAACAACGTCATCTTTTAAGATTTTAAATAGTTCCACTGGGATGCCATCACCTCCACTGGCCTTGTTGTTAGCCAGGCTTTCTAAGGCCCACTTGACTTCACTCTCCAGGATGTCTGGCTCTAGGTCAGCAACCACACTATCTGGGTTGTCCAGGATATCCAAATCTTTCTAGTATAGTTCCTCTGTGTATTCTTGCCACCTCTTCTTGATGTCTTCTGCTTCTGTTAGGTCCATACCATTTTTGTCCTTTATCATGTTCATCTTTGCACAAAATGTTCCTTTAACATCTCCGATTTTCCTGAACAGATCTCTGGTTTTTCCTTTTCAATTATTTTCCTCTATTTCTTTGCATTGCTCATTTAAGAAGGCCCTCTTGTCTCTCCTTGCTATTCTTACAAAGTCTGCATTCAATTTTCTGTAACTTTCTTTATCTCCCTTGCATTTTGTTTCCCTTCTCTGCTATTTGTAAGGTCTTGTTGGACAGCCACTTTGCTTTCTTGCATTTCCTTTTCTTTGGTATGGTTTTTGTTGCTGCCTCCTGTACAGTGTTACGAGCTTCTATTCAAAGTTCTTCAGGCACTCTGTCCACCAAACCTAATTCCTTACATCTGTTCTTCACTTCCACTGTGTATTCATAAGGGAATTGGTTTAGATTATACCAGACTAGCCCAGTGGTTTTTCCTACTCTCTTCAGTTTAAGCTTGAATTTTGCTATGAGAAGCTGATGATCAGAGCCACAGTCAGCTCCAGGTCTTGTTTTTGCTGACTGTATAGAGCTTCTCCATCTTTGGCTGTAGAGAATATAGTCAATCTGATTACGATATTGCCCATCCGGTGATTTCCATATGTAGAGTCGCCTCTTGTGAATCCAGGTGGATTGCGTTTAGTCGGAACTCTCCACTATGCCCTGTCCGTCTTAGGTGGCCCATAGCTTCACTGAGTTACTAAAGCCCCTTTGCCACGACAAGGCAGCAATCCATGAAAGGGAAATCTGTGAATGGCTTAAGACAAACTTTCCAAACAGCATGACTGTCAATGTTCACACATATTTTCAAATCAGCACGAGATTTTCCTAGTCTCTTTAAGTATTCCATATTGTATTATACATATTATATGCAAATTTTATATTACACGTATTGTTTGAAATCCCATTCATGGAACTTGATCATTTTTTTTTGTAATAAAACATTTCTAATCCTTTCTTCCTGAAGGTCCCAAGGCTTCCATGAAATCCTTTTCTTCATCGTAAAGCCATCATGGAGTGCGGTTCAGGAGGGGAGTCTTTAATTTCCCAAACTAATTGCCAATTTTGAGAAATTAAGAACTCCTTATCCTGTTCTATAGCCCCTAAAGGCTTCCTTAGGATTAAAAGTATTCCACAAGAGCCTTCCTTCTAATTCAAAGATGAATTAGAAATGTTTAACAGCTGGAAAATTATGGTGGGTGATATCAGGCTGATATTTTGTTTGCAGTAAACAGTGCAAAAAAAATTAAGATCAGAAGAAGGAATTTCTAAAATATCTATATTGCTTTTTAAGCAATTAGAAAAATGTATTTAATTTTTTAAAATACGTTTTAAATAAAACATATTTAAAGTGAGGGACAGGTTTTTGTACTAAAATGAAAATGTTATATATATTGATTGAAGGAACCCCAGAGTGTAATACTTTTGTCATCAGGGATTCAGTGCATTTTGTTTTCTAAACAACAACAGTTAACTGTAACTGTTGAAAAATTATGTCATCTCTTAATGTTGTTGCTTCAAGCATCCTCAAGTCAAATAATCAGAATTGCCAAAGCCTATATTGATCATTTTGAAGCATTATCCATCCTCCTAAGTATTTTTTTTCTGAACAACAGTCATGCATTTTCACTTTTGAACATTGCTAATCTTTTTCCCCCATTTCTGTTTTAGGGCTACCTGGGCCCCAGGGATCTCCAGGTGTTCCAGGGCTAGCAGGAGCAAAAGGAGAAAAAGGAAGCTCAGGTTGGGCAGGACCAGCTGGAACACCTGGAGTGAAAGGTGACCGAGGATCTCAAGGAATCCCTGTAAGTTAATTTTAGGAACACAAATTATTTTTCTTTTACAATGACCATACAAAAATAATATTGCATAATATATAGCTGTTGCTAGTTTATTACTGCAGGAAATTGATATACAGTGGTGCCTCACAAGACGAATTTAATTCGTTCCACTGTTAATGTTGTCTTGCGAAAAATTCATCTTGCAAAACAGGTATTCCCATAGGAATGTATTGAAATCTAATTAATGCAATCCTAGGGCCAAAAAAGTGCTGTCCTCTGAAGATGCCGGCCACAGAGACTGGCGAAATGTTAGGAAGAACAAACTTCAAACACGGCCAAAGAGCCCGAAAAACCCACAACAACCATTAGCCGTGAAAGCCTTTGTGAATACAAAGTTAAATTTGGTTTACAAAGGGTTTATTAAGAGCTCTTTAAAGCCATACATATTGCGCAGATGATTTCAAAAATTTCAATCAAAAACCGTTAACTTTTTAAACATCATAAAAACATTTTAAAATCAGCAAATATGAGGCAGGAAAAAAAAAGGGAAAAATTCATCTTGCGAAGCACGGCCATAGGAACATTCATCTTGCAAGTCATCAACCCCATCACCAAAACCATTCGTCTTGCGAGTTTTTCGTCCCGCGAAGCATTCGTCTTGCAAGGCACCACTGTATTGGTAAGCAAAAATAGTTTTTTTTTTTCAAGGTGGAGTCTTTAGAGTCATACTTGCAAAACATACATTGTACAAAGGCATTCTGTTTTTTTAAAGCACATGTGGTGCTTTTAAAGATAAAAGAGCCTCAAGCTTGACAGGATCAGATGTCAAGACAAAACTATCTGCCACTTTTCTGTACTTCTTCATTGCCTGCCAATATGCCACAAAGATTCCTGTTTAATAGCTACAGTGTCTGATCTCAGGTTCTCCAAGAGAATTCCTTCTTTGGTGTAGTCCCTCCATCTGGAACATGTCGTTTAGTCGTGTCCAACTCTTCATGACCCCATGGACCAGAGCATGCCAGGCCCTGCTGTCTTCCACTGCCTCCCGGATTTGGGTCAAATTCATGTTGGTAGCTGTCCAACCACCTCATCCTCTGTCGTCCCCTTCTCCTCTTGCCTTCACACTTTCCTAACATAAGGGTCTTCTCCAGGGAGTCTTCTCTTCTCATGAGATGGCCAAAGTATTGGAGCCTCAGCTTCAGGCTGTGTCCTTCCAGTGAGCACTCAGGGTTGATGCCAGCAAGTTTGGAAAAGTCAACAGTGGCCAAAGGAGTAGAAAAGATCAGTCTACATCCCAATCTCAAAAAAGGACAGTGCCAAAGAATGCTCCAACTACCGTACAATTATACTCATTTCACACACTAGCAAGGTTATGCTCAAAATCCTACAAGGTAGGGTTCAGCAGTATGTGGACTGAGAACTCCCAGAAGTACAAGCTGGATTTCGAAGTGGCAGAGGAACTAGGGACCAAATTGCTAATATGTGCTGGATTATGGAGAAAGCTAGAGAGTTCCAGAAAAACATCTACTTCTGCTTCATTGACTATGCAAAAGTCTTTGACTGTGTGGACCATAACAAACTATGGTAAGTTCTTTAAGAAAAGGTAGTGCCTGACCACCTTATCTGACTCCTGAGAAACCTATACATGGGACAGGAAGCAACAGTTAGAACTGTATATGGAACAACTGATTGGTTCAAAAATGGGAAAGGAGTACGACAGGGCTGTATATCGTTCCCCCGGCTTGTTTAACATATGCAAAATACATCATGCGAAGGGACGGACTGGAGGAATCCCAAGCCAGAATTAAGATTGCCGGAGGAAATATCCACAACGTCCAATATGCAGATGATACCATTCTGATGGGAGAAAGTGAGGAGGAATTAAAGAACCTCTTGATGAGGGTGAAAGAGGAGAGTCCAAATAACGGTCTGAAGCCCAACATCAAAAAAACCAAGATCTTCTTAAATGAACAATGCAAAGAAATAGAGGAAAATAATAGAAAAGAAAAACCAGATATCAGGAAAATGGGAGATATTTTGTGCAAAGATGGACATGATAAAGGAGAAAAGTGGGAGGGACCTTACAGAAGCAGAAGATATCAAGAAGATGAGGCAAGAATACACAGAGGAATTATACCAGAAAGTTTTGGATATCCTGGACAACCTAGATAGTGTGGTTGCTGACCTTGAGCCAGACATCCTGGAGAGTGAAGTCAAATGGGCCTTAGAAAGCCTGGCTAACAACAAGGCCAGTGGAGGTGATGGCATTCCAGTTGAACTATTTAAAATCTTAAAAGATGACACTGAAGGTACTGCATTCAATATGTAAAGTCAATTAAAAGTGTTCAAAGAGGAAGGAGCCTGTCAGCTCCACCAGACAAATTTGTAAGTAGAGTTGAGTTTCTGTTCCTAAGATCCCAGCTTGCATTTTCTTTAAATTCTTTAAATAAAAGTAATTTTGTTTGGTTAGCTTCCCTTTACCACTTTGGCCATCTGACATATCCAAGACAGAGATAGAAGATTCACTTAACAAGTGAGAGGGTGAATGCTATCATAAGAGGGTGCTACGCCTACATCCAGGGCCATCCAGAGACTTGAAGGCATCATTAACATTTTCCTAGTACTGGGAGACACCATTTTGATCTTCTTCATCCAAACTAAGGAGCTCAGATGATACTTGAGGCCAGGCAGACTACTTGCAGAGAGACTTTTTCAGTCTGCAGCAGTTTGATAACAGTTTTGGTTGCAGGGAAATCAACTGGGAAAACTCTGCATATAAACCGAAACAAGAGAAAATGTGATAAATTAGATGAAACTCGGGGTTATATTCTTGGCACTTCTGGCTTTTGGTCACAGTCATGTGTTATCACATAATGATGATCAGAACAGAGAACATCACAGCCAAGCCCTGTAGACAAAAGTGAAGCAGTCCTTAGCTGGTCCTGCTGGTACGGATGTTACCACACTTAAGAGTATGGTCCTTTACTTTAATGGAGAGATCCGAGTTCCCAAGAGGATTTAAAAAGAGACTGAACAACCAATTGTAGTAGTACTATTCATGTACATTTATTATATTTTCCAATGCATATAATGCTATACCAGTTATCACAAGGCCTCTCTCACACACACATCCAATACTCACACTGACCCTGAGGTTGATGGAAGGTGTGTGTTTCGCTGTCTCCCGGTGATTGGCCGTAGACACGAAAGTGTGGGTGTCCGTTGCAGCACTGTTTGGGAACACACCAGCCATGGAAAAAGCCCAACTTTTATAATAGGAAATATCGTAAACGTGTTGACAAAAAGTCCTCTTTAGTGGATGAGTCATTTTCCAGATCCTGGTTTTTCCCTAGATCACCAATTCCCAGCCCAAAACAGATCTTACCTACATGACCAGACATCTATTACATTGATTTTTAGCTGAATGCTTTCATGCAGTGTCTGTAAAGCACTCTGGTGATTTCATTGCACATGCAATGACAATCATTTGTTTGTTTGTTTATTTAACTTATATGCCGCCCACTCTACCCAAAGGTCTCTGGGCAGCTTACAACAATTAAAATTCAATTAAAATACAATAAAAGATAAAATGATTAAAATACAATTAAAATTGCCATCAGGACCCACAGTTGATGTTATTTCAATTAAAAGCCTTCTGGAACAGGAAGATTTTGACCTGGTGCCAAAATGTCAACAACATTGGCGCCAGACGAATCTCAGTTGGGAGGGCATTCCATAGTCTGGGGGCAGCTGCCGAACAGGCCCTTTGTCTACAAGTCATCCCTCTTACCTCCTTGAGGGACGGCTCTTTCAAAAGGGCCCCCTGGCTAGATCTTAACTGCCGGGTAGGCTCATATGGAAGGAGGCGGTCCTTTAGGTATCCAGGGCCCAGGCCGTTTAGGGCTTTATATGTCAAAACAAGCACTTTGAATTGGGCCCGGGCAGCAACTGGTAACCAATGTAACTTAAACAGAATCGGCTTGATGTGATCTCTAGCGGCCCCACCACTCACCAGCCATGCAGCTCGAGTCTGGACCAGTTGCAGTCGCCGGACCGTCTTCAAAGGCAGCCTCACGTAAAGCACATTGCAGTAATCTATACGGGATGTTACCAGTGCGTGTGTAACTGTTATGAGACTCCGCTCGTCCAGGTAGGGCCGTAGCTGGTACAATTTCCGCAGCTGAAGGAAGG